GTGTGTGTGTGTGTGTGGTGGGTGTGTGTGTGGTGTGTGTGTGTGTGTGTGGTGTGGTGTGGTGTGTGTGTGTGGGTGTGTGTGGGTGGGTGTGGGTATGGGTGTGTGTGGTTAGTGTGTTGACTTCTTTCAAGATTGTTACCCTCTTTCAACATGTCGTTGAATGAAGTCGGCTTCGTTGCTCTGGACCACTCACACACTTGCCACCCGATGTGAATCTACTCGCTCCCTCTCTCCTCCATATCCATAGATGACGCGGGTTGTGCAGGCGTCGCGGGAAGTGCGTGGACGTTCCTTGGACGACATTGTTGCGAGCGAGGACTGGGATGCGGTCAACGACTTGAGCCTGGGGCGCACGTTCCTTCTGACGCTGCTGTTGACGGCAGATGACGCCAAAGGCGACAATTTCATGGTCACGCCCAACGGGGATATCATCGGCATCGACAACGACCACGTCCTCGGCGCGCCGTTCAAGGCTTCCGTGCGTACAAATGGGCGTGTGTGGGGGGGGGGGATGATTGTGTGTGTGGATATGTGTGTATGTGTGAATGTGTGTGTGATGTTGTGTTGTGCTGTGTTGTGTGTGTTGTGTTATGCTGTGTTGTGGGTGGGTGTGTCCGTGATGGCTGCATCATCATGTGTTCGTTGCGAGTAATACATAATGATGATTGAATGTTCTCGCCTCACACCGCTGTTTTGCTGTGGTGCATGCAACAGGGAGCCGGCACGCGTGTGGTGCTTCGCAGCCTCATTTTCTGCTGTAACCCTTGGATGTCCAGGTGAATGGAGTTGAGGGAAGGTGGACATGGGCATCGGTGGACACACATGGTGCATGGTTGAGTGGAAACGACACACTGTGTGTTGCGCATGCTATTATTGTCACAACCACACACTCAACATGTTGTTCTGCTTACTGTAGGCGGATGCATCCGGCGTTGGTGCAGCACCTTCGTCGCATCAGTCCCACCGTCGTCGTTTCACGTTGGCTGGCGGAGATTGGGCACTACAATGGTGCGTCTGCGCTCAGTGGCGGTGACATGTAGCATGACTGTGTGTGCCGTCTTGTGATTCTCTGCTTTGACACGTCATGCATGGTGCCAAACGGCTTCTTTGCTTTCTGCTTGTTCAGCATGTGTGCACAGGCATATTAATACATGTCTGCGTTGTCGTACACACCCGCATTCACATTCTCCCACACCCATGCCCATGCGCATGTTCGTCCATCGCCGTCCACTCGCACGCGTACTCGCGAACGCAGATCGGTTGCGAGAACTGGAGAGAGACGGGCTGCTGTCGCCATCGTTGCGAACAGCACTTGGACTTCCGTGCTATGTTCGCTCGAGCGCAGTGGAACGCACACTGCTGCTGTTGCGGCGGGTACAGACCGCCGTGAAGGCACGTGACGCTCGCGGACAAGAAGTCACTCTCAAAGGCCTGCTGCAATCAGCTCTGCCTGAAGTAGCCGCAGTGTACACGCAGATGCGTGGCGCGTTCACCACGCCGCACGAGGCACTGCGCTGCGTGTACTTTCGCCCCGAGGAGTTCTTCCCACGGCCACCACCTGATCTTGTCAAGTATGACATCACTGTTGAGGGTGTTCTGGCTCAACAACAACAACAGTGCAGTCATGCTAACAGCAACAGCGGCTGCTGCAGCTCCTCGGATAGAGCTGGACAGAACAGCCAAGATGCGCTTGCAAGTGATGACAAACCTGGCTGTGATGACAGCAGCAGCACGACCGCATTGCGAGGTCCGGATTCGGGGCTGGACTGCGCAAACGCTCTGTTCCTGGAGCGAGACAATGGGTTCGTTCAGGCGCTTGAAGACACGATGCTGGTCACGGACGTCCTGGCCAAGGTTCATCCTAAAACGCTGTGCATTCAACACGTCATGCACTGCTTGGAGATTGTGCAATCTTGCTCCGGCATGGCGTGGTCGCTGCTTCCGCAGCCATGGACGTCCGACACGACATTGGTTCCAAGGTATGTCCGTGTGTGTGTGTGTGTGTGTGTGTGTGTGTGTGTCGGTGTGTGTGTGTGTGTGTGTGTGTGTGTGTGTGTGTGTGTGTGTGTGTGGCTATAAATTCCAACGTCTCAGGTTACATCTCCGATAAGGTATCCTGCAAGAGCCGATCCTACGCTAGAGGCGTGTGCGTGAGTACCTAATAGCCTGCTTTGGTAAAGTCAGTACCCATTGGGGGTTTGCATCCGCCGCACTAGTCCCCAATTGTGCCGGTTATTATAACTTATACTACGACTACCAGCGCATATGTCCACTGGTTTATTGTTGAGTCCCTAAAACCGACCGTTGGTTGTTTTCGGACCAAGATGCATACCGTATGATTGAGAAAAAACGTATGGGAGGGGAGAAAGCGCCTCTTTTCAAGAGAGTACACTCTCCGCCAGTCACACTGGTCCGGAAGGCGCCACA